AGCTGTGTCTCACATGCGTTGGCCGTGTTGTGAGGAGAGGCTATTCCTTGGAAAGCGTTAGCATGCTTGGAAAGGTGGAGGAATCAGTGACGGAGGGAAAGACCCTCAGTGAGATGGATTGACAGACACAGTGACTACAACAGTGAGTCTGCAGCAATGGGTCAGCACAGTGACTTGCATCTCAGGTGTGTCAGAGATTGTGAGGATGGCACAGGATAGGACAGGGATCAGATCTGTTGATAGGGTCACTACAAAGTGGGCCCAGCTTGATGGAACTTAACAACATATGTCGTGAGCCTAGTTTGGTTTCTTTGAGAAGAAGAACTAAATCCCTTCTGAAGCAACATAGCATCACTAGGCTTTCAAGTTATTTCATATGTGTTGTCTAGTAAAGTAAGAAAAATCTTACGGGCTTTTGAGTCAGAACCAACTCATACCTGGCCCTTGAGTGGGTTTTCAGAGTCTGTAAATTGCATGGGAGAAGGTTGCCCATTTTCTTCCTGTGGAGAACATGGCAGATTCGAACTGCCTGCCTCTGGATTGGCATTGCACCTCATTACCCATTAGGCCACCAGGGCTTTCCTATTAAGGAAAATACTCCGGTGTAATCTGTTAATTACTGTTCTCAAGTTTTACTTGTAATCATACAGGTGCATAATAGTTATCCTTTAATTATTTTAATCAAATATCAAAAGAACAGAGGTAAGAAGCATAAATGTAATAGACACTTTATAAACTTATATCATGTTGTGGAAAAAGCATTATGCTTTATGATGCTAGTTCAAGAGTGTTTTAGGTAGAGAAAGTCTTTAGAAAATGCAGCCATCACTTGGTAAGTGTTAAGTTAGTCATGGTAGACTCAAAAGAATCTTTAAATCTTTCTTGTGCATTGGAATGGTTTTAACAAAGTAGTTTTATACATTTTAGAAAGGAAGAGTAAGTTAATATTAGATTGCATTGTATTGGTATTGTTTTTATTTCATTTTGAGCTTGGTTTTACAATTCCCTTAAGTCCCTGGATTACAAAGTCTGATTAATAGGTAACTCATATTTGCCCTTTAATATTAGGTAAATTTTCTCTCATTTGAAACTATTGAGCCAATTTGTTTTAACAAAATATTCATCAAAATAACTTTCACATGTTGCTCCAGTAACTTTTAAATTGATGATAATGCTTTAAGCCATTTCTTGTACTTAAAGTAAGACAAAATCAGGACCATGCATACTTGCTCAAACTTAATTGCGAATTTGACTTAAAGATACACTTAGGAAGCGATCCACTTTGTAAATCAGGTCAGCTTGTACTTAAGAGTTACGATCCTTACGTTTTTTAAAATAATTTTTAAGATTTTACATTTTTCAAAAGTCTCATTTTTTTCAGAGTTCTCAAATTGATTTTAGATGTCATGATTACATTTTCTGCAATGTGTACTGTGTTAAACACAAAGCTAAATCTGTCACGGAATTAAAATCTATAAAGTGGGAGGGCCTGTTTTGCTGTGCTGCCTGTTGTAGTGATAATGAAAAAAATGATATCTAACTCATTTTTACATTTTATCTTTTGGCTCTTTGTCTCTCAGTTACTCATCCTCAGTGGCTTAGGACATATCTTCATACTTTTTAAATGCCATTGCCAAGTGCTTTTCTATAATATTTCTGAATGATTAATTTTCCAACATCTGTCATTCCCTTGCATTTTGGGATGATGTTTCATTTCACTCGTTATGTACTATTTCTCCCATATGTTCCAGGGTGACTTCTGGCAGTAGGAAATGTGTGTGTCAAAATTCGTTTTATTCATCAGCTTTTATTTACACCTTGGGGTTTGTTAGCAAATAAGCTCACATAAAAAGAATACTGCCATTTTCTGCTTCTGGAAATGGTGAATGTTTTTTTAAAATAACTCTCCTACCAGGAACAACTGGACAGGTGAACAGAATGTCATCGAATCCCCCAGAAAACTGTTCTCTTTTGAGGGTTACCATGAATCCACAGATTATGACAAAGACAGATGTCCAGAGTGCTGAGTATTACTATGTGGATTATTTTTTCCCCTTGAGGTGACAGCTGATTCAAAAAGAGCTATTTTTGAGTTTAGAAGCTTAGATAAGAGTTGCTTATCGACTCCCAAGGTTAGGGAGACTAAAAGTGGTGTTTAGGGATCTTCTGGCTTTTGATTTAACCCTGAAGGGGTATAACTGAGATGGATACATGGTGGATTAAAAATAGGGGAAGTAGTAGAGTAGAAACAACCCAGTCTTTATAAGGACAAAAAAACATAGCTTTGTGCCATGTCAGTTTCTAACTAAAGTAATTTGTGATTTCTAATGACCACAGATGTGGCCCGAGTGAAATATGAACCCATGACTTTGGTGGCCTAGTGGTAAGAAGATGTGCTGCAATCTCAAAGACACACAGTTCAAATCCACCAGCAGCTCCACGGTAGAAGGAAAGGCAGTTTACTGCCTCTGAAATCCCACTACAGGGTCACTTCAGAGTCGGCTCCAATACAACAAGGTGACAACAGCAGGAACCATAATTTTCATCTGAACCGGCCCTGAATTTCTATGTCTTCCCTGTCATAATAACATTCTAGCCATTTTTTAATAATCTTAAGCAAGATTTTACTTGTATGTGACATTATTGTTTGCTAATTACCACACTATGTAGGATCACCTTGTTTGGGACTGGAAACAAATATGCACCTATTTCAGTTAGTTGGCAAATTAGCTGTCTTCTGAATTTCTTGGCTTAGGTTAGTAAGTACATCCAGGGCTGCCATCTGCTTGTTGAAATATCCCAGTTGGTATTCCATCTATTCCTGGGACCTTGTTTTTCAGTGAAGATATTGACAAAGAAGAATTCATTCCTTCATTTCTGTTGGCTCTTGATCATATGCCAAACAAATTCTTTTTGCTACAATGACTGTGTATTCCTTTAAACATCTTTTGATATTTCTTGCATCATTCAATATTTTGCCTGTAGTATCCATTAGTATTGTAACTGAAAGCTTGTATTTGTTCTTCAGTTCTTACACCTTGAGAAATGCCAGACGTGTTTTCCCCACTGTTTGCAGTTTATAATACTTTGCTTTGTCTTCTTGAGATGCCCTTTGAATTCTCCTTTTCAGCTTTCTAACTTCAGCATTTCTTCCCTTCAATTTGGCTTCTTTACATTCTAACAAGAGTTTCAGAGTCTCTTCTGGCATCACTTTAGTCTTTTCTTTCTTCATTGTTCTTGTAACAATTATTTTTCTTTAACTCTCTTCAGCGATGTCCTTGATCTTATTCCACATCTTATCTGATATACTTCAGTCATTCAATGCGCAGTGCATCACATCTGTTTTTTTTTTTTTTTTAAATCCAGGTGGGAGAGAATCATGGTCATATTTTGGTTCTTATGGACCTGTTTTCATTTTCTTCAGCTTTAGTGTGAAGTTATATGTGCATGGTCAGTCCCAGGACTGGTTTTGACTGTTGGTACTGAGCTTCTCTATTGACTTCTCCCACAGGTATAATCAATCTAGTCCTGTGTAGTTCATCAGGTAAGGTCCATATGTATTTAATCATAATTTATGGGTTTCTCCCCCCAAAAAAAGATATTTACAGTGAATAATTACAAGTGTATTTACGCCAGAAATGACAACTTGAAGAGGAATGATGCTGCGTTGATTGTGAACTAGAACATTTTGAGATGCATCACTCACAGTGATGTGAATGATAGGATACTATCTGTACATACACAAGGAAGACCTCTTAATACAACTATTATTCGGTTATATGCAGCAACCACTGAAAAGTAAAGGTGATGAATTTGAGGATTCTTTCCACAGATGTCCATCTGAATCCTGTGTAGTTCTTTAGACAGGCCCATGTGTGTACTTGTATGTGTATTTTAAGAAAGCTATTTGCAATCATTGATTATACATATTGTGCTTTGTGATCTTTGGCCTCATTTCTGTTACCAAGGTCACATTTTTCAACTCCTTGTCCTCCTTTGTTTTTAACTTTTAGATGGCAGTCACCCATTATTTCTAATGCATCCTGACAGCATGTTTTCTGGAGCTAGTTCCTCAGAGGGAAAGCCCCTCAAGGTTTGTGTTTTCAGGCAGACTGAGAAACTGACCCCGAGACAAACTGAAACACCTTAGTTAAGTGGGACAGGACACTTCCTGACCAGGTGGAAAATGTAACGATGCATGAATTCTGATGACAGCGGGCTGGAGAATTACCACTGGGCGGGCGAGGGTGGATAAACAGCTAACTACTTTATATCCTTAGACAAACAACTGCCCGTATGCAGTAAAGTTAAGAATTATCCAGGTTGATGGGAAGTGCTCTTAGTCTGCAAGCTTTATTTAAGGGGGGAAAAAGCCTTCACCACCTGCTTGAGGTACATCTAGTTCTGCAAGCCTGGCTAAACACAATAGTAAGGAAAGGTCAGTTTGCCCTCATTCTGGGAAGAAACTAGAAAAACAAATCTACTGAAAAAAAAAACCCAAAAAAACAAACACACACCAAAAACCCAAACCACACCAAGACTCCTAAGAGAAAAAGAGGCCTAAGAAAACTCAGCTAGCTTTGCTCCTGTATAGCCATTTGGGGACCTTATAGCCTCTCCCGTACAATGTTGGGTCAATTTCATATGACAGAAGTTCCTAGAAATCTTCAGTTTCTTCATCTTTGTCTTTAGTGGTTGATGCATATATTTAAAGAATAGTTGTATTAATAAACCTCCCTTGTATGCGTGTAGTGTGTTATTTCAGATGTGGCTGGCCTGTCCACCCTGGGTAACCTGCTAGCATGTCAAGGACTGGTAGCCACACAGCAACACGCAGGCCACCACAGTGTGGCAAACTGACAGAGATGAGTGAGTCGTGGGTATTCTGACTCCCCATGAGTCAGGCTATTTCAGAAATAATTTTTAAAACCTCTACTCTGACTTGTATGTGGAATTTGTTTAAAGAAAATAAAACTCCACTCCTTTCTCCTTTAATTTAGTTAAAAGAAAGTTTGGAACAATCAATTGGCCAACTGCGGAGCCAACGTTTATTAAGAAACCCAGGAGGGAGAAGCATTTCTGTTACAAGTTTGAGTACAAGTGACCTCGATGGTGGCCCTGCCTCAGGTAAACGCTTACCTGTTCTCAAAGTGTTCTTTTTAAGAATATTTCCGACATACATATTGAACACATTTAATCATTGGAATCATAAAATTCCTACATAAAATAGTGCAGACGAGGTTTGCAGATGCACTTGCAAAGGACTGTAGTGCATTGTGGTTAAATACGTGAAGTGAGACTTTGTCACCCTATCTCTATTCCTCTGCTTTCTTACACTCCACTGACTGACCGTGTAGTTTTACTTAACCCAAATTTGGGGTTAAAAATGGATTGCAAAGAATCCAAATGAACATATAGACAAAACAAAACATACTGTTGGGGTATATTTTCTGGGCATAGCGGATTGATGGTTTTCAAATGTCTGATTATGAAATATGACATTTGTTAACTACAGGTCCATTTTAAACTTGATTGGTGTGAACGTGACAGTGCTTAGCTTGTAATTCACCTTACACTTGGCTGTTACTCCAGGCTTTAGAGTTGACTAGAAATTTTTTTTTAATCTGCAGCAAAGAGAGGTGATTTGGAGAGATCGTCAGTAGCTCCAATCATTAACGTTCCTTATGATCATTATAACTGTGATTAAAATTTGGACCCCGACACCTTTTCTTCCTCTATTTTTTTATAGTTAGTTGGTTTTTACTGATTTTTAAGTACCATGTAGATTTCAATTTAATGAATTTCTTATTTGAAAAGTCTTTTTTTTAACCAGTTTTAAGTTACGCGTTAGAAAGTTATAAAAGTTAATTTCAGTTAACAATTACTTTTTTAAATGAGGTGAACAGGATCATATTGCTTCTTTGGAAAGCACAGAAAATTGGGACTTTGGAAATGTTCTGTTTTTGCTCAGGAGCTCCCATGTGCAGTTGTTAAAATAATTGGCTGCTAAGAGAAAGGTTGGCACTTGATGCCCACCAGCTCCTCTGTTGGAGACAGATTCTTAAGCCTGTTTCTGTAAAGTTTTACAGCTTTGGAAACCTTCTTAGGAACTCCCTATGTGGCCACTATGAGTCAAGATTGACTTGGTAGCAGTGGGTTTAGGATTTGGGGTTTTTGGATTTCCAGGTTATTGTTATTTTCAATTTTATCTACAAAGATAAAGAAGAGCAAAATTAATATCATGTTTGTGGAACTTTATTTGTGGCCACATCTACTGATTTATTCTTGGGAATAAATGCATTGGGAAAGGATGAATGTATGTAATTATACTGAATGTAAGAATGTGTATACTGTGTAAAATTTTAGCTTGCTTCTTTTCATGAAGGGTTTTTTTTTAATCTTCTGTCCTTCTCACCCTCGTAAAGAGAGCCGCCGCTTTCTACCTACCTCACCTCTCAAAGACTATGGGGATCCTCAAGTTAGTAAACCAGGGAGGCCCAGACCATCCGGTGTGCGGTTTGTTGGGGAGACTGAGGATGTGAACCAGGTACTCATGACTATTCTGTAATCTGTATGCAAATACTTATTTATGTTTCTATATACATAACAAACATTTGAACTTTATGGCCAAGACTTAACCACAGAAATGACTTTCTTTTTCACGTGCTAATCTTTGTCATACATTTTATTTTGGATGTTGTTGTGGAGGACTGTGTTTTGTAGAACTTTTTTGAAGTGGCCTGAGTGAGATGTGGCTGGCTCTTCTGTGAGTCTTGTTAAGCCAGCTGCTTTTTGTTTTGTAGGAACCTAACAACCACAAAAACATGAGAAAGGTAGTCTTTGTGTAGTGGACCTGTTGATTCCCCCAGCATTAATGGTTTTCTGAGTGTTGAATTTTTAATAGAGTCACTTTCTGTCAACTAAGAACTTCCATATTTTCAGTGTACCCACTGAACATTTTCGGGGGTGATAGTGCTCTAGACATACTTATTTTCTTACCTCTTTAAATAGAGTGAACATTTTTCTTAAGTAATTAATTAGGAAAGGGATAAGGGAATGTTGTCTTTAACATTCCTGTTTTGGAAGTTTTACAGTTAATGATCTCAAAATTGATCATGGGATACTTATCTTTAACTGTTAAGATTTTATCTAGCATAAAAAAAATAAGAAAATGCAGTACAAACTGCTTTGGAGAATCTTTTCTTGATTTTTGTTTTTTGGATGGGCACCACTATATTTAGTAGACTATATGATTAAATATAGGACAGTAACCAATTTCTTAAACTTACTTTTTAGTCTTTTACTGTATTCATATTGTGCCTTTTTCTGGGCACAGTGATCATGCTTGGAAACTGATGAGCAGAAGTAGTAGAAATGGCCAAGTCTCTTCATGGAATTTATAACTAACAGAAAGAGTAGATAGCAATCAAATAAGTCTCTAAATTTATGAACTGGGATATATGTTAGAGTGAAAAGGGTGTAGGGAAATGGAAGTATGGAATAAAGGAGCCTTCTTCTGTCAGGGAGTGCTTGACTGAAGAATGGACAATTGAGTTGAGTTCTAACAGATCAGCAAGACTCATTCCATTGGTAGAAACTCCACGAATAATGTGACAGGAAGGAAGATAGCATCTTAGAGCAATTGAAAGAGACCATTTAGCTAAAGAAGAAAGTCTAAGATCTTGCAGAGCCTTGTAAGGAGGTGACAGAATTGTTTATGTGAGATCGTTGCAGCTCTAGTGTAGAGAATGGAGTTTATGTGCACAGACTGATGAGGAGAACAGTCATGTGCTCTGACCTTGGGATGATCCGCACTTGATTTAGAATGGTGACATGGAGTTGGAGAGATGAATGGATTTAGGAGCGATACAGGATAAAAAGGAAAGGTCTTGAAGTTCAGTTGTCTGAGTGGAGAGAGTGGGGTGAATGGAAATGGTGACGTCAGGAGTGAGCCCTAAGATGCTTGTTTTCAGAACTGGAAATTTTTAATGGTTAAACTCACATGGATGATCTGCTATTGATTTAGTTACTTCATTTGTTTCTTTTAAATTGTTCTTCCTTATTTTCAATCCATTAGCTTAAGATAACCTTTAACTTAATGTGTCTGTGTACTCTTTCTGTCCTGAGATCAGAAGTTGTGGTTAACTCTTTCCTTATCTTGCTCAGTGTAGGCCCTGAGCCACAGTTTTTTGACAGTATAGAGACAAGCTTGCACTGATGATAAAATGCCTTGTGGGAACTTTCCTTGCATTTTGTTTTTTAGAAAGGAGCAATTTTGCTACATGGACTAGCTTATTAAATCTAGAACGGGGTGAGCTTTTATTGAATCAGTGTAGGTTTTATTTATTTTTGAAAGTCTGAATAACTAAAAAAAATGACTGTGAAATAAGGACAGTAATAAGAATGAAGACGATGTAACTACCATTTTTGAGCCTATTTTGTATTCCTCGTCTCTCCTGAGGATAGCTATTATTTTGAATTTTATATTAATTATTCTTTATTTAAAAAATACTGGTTTACTTGCTTATATTGCTTATTGTAGCCTACCTTTAAACTTTAGATAAATGAGATAATTCTGTATGTGTTTTACTGTAACTTGCTCGTATCATTCAGTGATGTGTTTTTTTGATTCATCCTTAGTAATGGTCAAACATGACTCATAGTGATCCTATGAACAAAAGACCCGAAGCCTTTCTATAACTATCATTGTTTCTCAAAGTTCATAGGGTTTCCATAGGCCTGTGGTTTAAGAAGTGGATGTCACTCCTGTTTCTAAATCTGTCTTAAACTGGGAGCTTCACTAAACACTGTCCTCCTTGGGCAACTGTTGTGGCATTTGACACCCCAGTGGCACAAGGTTCAGCATCACAGCAAACCCAAATTACCTCAATTTGTGACTCTTCATTTATTTTATAATTTAGGAAAATGCTTAGAGAAAAGTTTCCTATATGATGTACTCTAAGTATGAACTCAGATTCCAATATATATAGGAATCTCAATACCTAAATAAAAATCTATCCCCAATAATAATTATTAGGAATAATGTTTATCAAACCTTTTTCGATTTGATGATTTTGCTTTTATGATTTTTTTTCACTTTTATGATTGTGCCCCTTCTGTGTAGTCTAAAGCAGCTTCCCTGGAACAATGGAGAGTGTATAACACTGGGAGGATTTATCTCTCAAATTTATAAGAATTTCAACTCCACACAGACTCTTGCTTCCATTTTTACGAAGGCATGGCATTTGGTTGGCAGAAGATACTGTAATTTAGTTATCTGCATTCTAATCTTGATGAGTGATTGATTGGCTTCCAGTATTCTTTTATGAACAGTGCTACTCAGGTCATTTTTGTACATGATTCTTAGTGCACATGAGCAGAAATTTCTCTAGGGTAGAGAAATGGTAATGTCCATGTGAGTTGGTAGGATAAAGTTTTATTAGAACATATCCATGTTCATTTTTTATGACTGCTTCTGTGCTACAGAAGTAAGTTCTATAGATGTAACAGAAGCCATGAAGCCAGCAAGCTTGAACTATCTGCAATCTGGCCTCTTACACAAAAGCTTGCTGTTACCTTCTTTGAGAGTAGAGTTGATATACTGTAAAAGATCTACTAATTAATAGAACTATTGCTGACAAATGGACGCTCTCTTCCTGTGTGATGTGTAGCCTCCGAGAACCTGTTGGAGGTCAGCTCTGAGTTGGTTCCGACTTGATGGAAATGAGTTGTTTTTTTAAAAATTTTAAAATTAATGTAAAGATAGTATATATTTTTTTAAAATAATTTTAATGAGAATCTACAGAGATCTTGGATTTCCATTCCTTCATTGTCACACTTCCCTCACCGCCCATCCCTCCACCCCCACCCCCCAGTTCGCTCCTCTCTTTCAAAAGTAAAAGAAACACTCCTTCCCTGGTACACAATCCCCCTGCACCCCTCCCACCGCCCCAAGTACATTCCACCACACAACCCCAATTGTGTGAGTTTGTTTTTTAATTCATAGCTGTTAGGTCACCAGATTTCCCTGATATATAGCTTTAAATAAAATGGTTTTACTTTGAAAAAAATAGGTATTTTTGAATAAATGCTTATTTTATTTTTGAGATAATAGCCATTTTCAAATTCAGGCATGTAGCAGAAAACAAGTGCTTATTATCGTCAGTGAAGCATCATGGGTAAATTCAACAGCATTTTTCATGAATCACTGTGTTTGCCTTCATCAGCTTCATGCTTTGCATCAGTCCCTTCGCGACCTCAGCAGTGAGCAAGTTCGTCTCGGAGATGATCTCAACAGGGAGTTTTCAAGAAGAAGCCGGTAAAAGCAGAATATGGTTTTCACTGGAAATTATTAGTGAAATGAAATATTCTAATTATTAGTGTGATGAAATAGATTCTAATTTAAATGAAATAATTGATGTGTTTAAATAATGTAATTGACATGCTTACATGATTTAAAAAGCAGAAACTAATAATATCATGTTTTAATATCAGTGTTTTAAATTTTTTAAAACAGAATAGTTCAAAACTCCTTGAATTTCGAGTGCATCATGACTTAACATTATTCCAGAAAAACCCAAGAAAGAAAAATCACTGTCCTTGAATAGATTATGATTCATAGTAACCCGTCAATGGGTTTCTCAGGCTTTTCCTTCTCTGTTTTTATATGAGAAAGAAAATGTAATCAAGAATTGTTGTTATGTGCCATCAAGTTGCCTGCAGCTTATAACAACTCTGTAGATAATAGCTTTGAAGCCTACCCTATTCTGAGCCAGCCTCACTGTCTCCAACACACGCGCGTCCATTACCACAGTTACTGTGTCAATCCATCTCATCGAGGGTCTTCTTCTCCTGTGCTGTCCCTTCACCCGTCCAAACATGATGTCCTTCTCCAAGGACTAGTCCCTTTTGGCCACAAGCCCAAAGTATGTGAGACAGAGCTTCAAAATCCTTACCTCCAAGGAGAAGCCTGGTTTCACCCTCTCTAGGACGGACCTGTTTGTTCTCTTGGCAATACTACTATTAGCTAATATTAAGGACTTATTTAATGTCTTATAGCTATAAGTGTCCCTCTGCAGTAGTAGCCCTGTGAAAATAGTGATTATTATGATTTATGTTTTATGGATGAAGAAATGGGCATGGAGTAGTGGAGTAACTCACTTTGCAGTAAATCACAAAGAATGGGTGTGGTGACATCAGAATTCTCATCAAATCAATTAAGTTCTGCAGTTTCTGTTCTTTACCATTTCTAGTAGACTGTGTCTCAAGATAATTTTCACAAATAGTTGATAGGAATAAACATTTAATTGTGAACTGCATTGTTAAACCATGTGATAAATCTTTTAAACTGGTATTGCTTAGTTAATAATTAGATAATTCTTTATGTCAAGCCAATGCCATTAATAAAGTGGTAGTTACCATTCTAATGATGGAGAAAGTTGGAAAATACCCTCCTATGCAATTTACAGCCTCTGAAATATATCCTCCTATGCAATTTACAGCCTCTGAAAACTTGCTGGAGGGTCAATGATGAGTTGATTCTGACTCCATAGTGATTGCTTTGCATTTTAATAGTGTTCTAATATAGTGTGTTCTTAGTTTGGAAAATTATATGTTATATAGCTTTTAGATCTCTGAAAGGAGAGGATAATATGAATAGTGGGAGCGTGAGTTTCAAGAAATAGTCTTCCCCTGAGAAGGAACAGGGCAGATACAGAGGGAATCAGAGAGATGCTTCAGGTCATTAGTGTATAATGGAGACTGAAGCTCTGAGCCTAGTTCTATCTGATAATAACAGATGTGGCCCAGAAGGATATAGGAGGCAAGGCGACTTTATTTAATATGAAAATAGTAGTCATGTTTCTAATGAAACTTGGAAGCTTAACTTTGTGGATACAGTTAATTCTAGAATCCAGTTCTGCTTATACCACATATTCTTAATTCATGTTTAGAATAATGCTGAGTAGTCAGTTACTAGACTTAGGGTTCTAATTGGTTCAGGGATGGAAAAAAGTTATTAACAAATTCTAGCATTTACTTCCCAAAGCATATAAGCAAGTCTTTAGAAGGGATTAGGTCAAGTTTAATTCAGCATGTCTTCACAGAATTCACCTGGCGTATTCTTAAAATGAGCTTCTGATAGCCTAGTGGGTAAGGAGATGTGCTGCTGACCCCAAAGCAGGAGATTTAACTCCAGCAGCCACTCCATGGGAAAAAGATGAGCGTTCTCCTCTCCTGTGATTTACACCCACTGGAGGGTCAGCTGCAGGTCAGGTCTGGCTCGATGGCAATGAGTTGAGGTGTTGAGTTTTTGTTACTACTATAGAAATAAAACCGCATGTGAAAGTGTGTTAATTTATGCATATATATAAAATAGTCTTAAAAAACACAAGGTTTCTAATGATTGCCTCATTCCATAGAGCAGCATAAAGAAAATATGAATCAGGTCAGAGGCTTAATCAGAGATAAGCTGATGAAACAGAATCATGTCAGGAGTTAGACTCCAAACAAAAGAAGATAAATTGACAATGAAACCATCATTTTAGGATGAATCAAGGACTAAGGAACAATAAGGAATAGCACTGCTCACACTGACATGTTGTTGTTGTTGTTATGTGCCGTCGAGTCGCCTGCGACTCATAGCGACCCTATGTACAACAGCCCTAAACTCCGCTCTGTCCTGTGCCAGTCGCACTGTCTCTGACACTCCCATCCCAATTATCCCAGTCACTGAATCAATCCACTTCATAGAGGGCCTTCCTCTCCTGCGCCGTCCCTCCACCCTCCCAAGCATGATGTCCCTTTCTAAGGACCGGTCTCTCCTCACAACATGTCCAAAGTAAGTTAGACGGAGCCTCAGAATCCTTGCCTCCAAGGAGCCACCCGGTTTAACCCTCTCCAGGACAAATCTGTTTGTTTTCCTAGCATTCCATGGTATTCTCAATACTCTTCTCCAGCACCACAGCTCAAAGGCATCAATTCTCCTTCTATCCTCCTTGGTCATTGTCCAACTCTCTGATGCATAACAGGTGATTGCGAAGACTATAGCCTGTATCAGACGCACCTTAGTCTCCAGAGAGACACTACTGCTCTTCAGCACTTTGGAGAGGTCCCTAACAGCAGACTTTCCCATGGCAATGCGCCTTTTAATTTCCTGGCTGCTGGTGCCAAGACTATTGATTATGGAGCCAAGCAAACTAAAGCTGTGTACAATCTCAATCTCTTCACCATCCATCCTGATGCTTCCAATTGGTCCAGTGGTGAGAATCTTTGTCTTCTTGACATTGAGCCTCAATCCATATTGTAGGCTGCAGTCCTTGACACTCTGCAGCAGGTGCTTCAGGTCCTCCTCAGTTTCAGCAAGCAGGGTTGTGTCATCCGCATAACGCAGATTGTTGATAATTCATCCACCAATCTTGACCCCACATTTCTCCTCATAGAGCCCAGCCTCCCGGATAATCTGTTCTGCATATAGGTTGAAAAGGTATGGAGATAGGATGCATCCCTGGCGTATACCCTTCCCAATTTTGAACCATGCAGTGTTCCCTTGCTTTGTTCTGACGACTGCCTCCTGGTCCAAGTATAAGTTTCGCATTAGAACGATCAAGTGGTCTGGGATTCCCATTCTTCTCAGAGTCAGCCACAGTTTGTTATGATCTACACAGTCAAATGCCTTTGCATAGTCAATGTAACACAAATAGACATTCCTCTGGTATTCCCTGCTTTCAGCCAAGATCCATCTAACATCAGCTACAATATCTCTAGAACCACGACCCCTTCTAAAACCAGCCTGGACTTCTGGTAGTTCTCTGTTGATGTGCTGTTCCAGTCGTTTTTGGATAATCTTCAGTAAAATTTTGCTTGCATATGAAATCAGTGAAATTGTTCTGTAGTTTCCACATTCTGTTGGGTCGCCTTTCTTTGGGATAGGAACAAATATCGATCTCTTCCAGTCAGTTGGCCAAGTGGTTGTTCTCCAAATTTCTTGGCACAACTTGGTGAGCACGTCCAGGGCAGCATCTGTTAACTGAAATATGTCAATTGGTATACCATCCATTCCTGGAGCCTTATTTTTTGCCAGCTCTGAAAATTGCACTGGAGCGCAGAGAAGCCAAAGCACAGGGAAGAATTCAAGATACTAAAGAGTTGAATAGAAGATTTCAAAAGGCAGCACGGGATGACAAAGCAAAATATTACAATGAAATGTGCAAGGAGTTGGAGTCGGAAAATCAAAAGGGCCGAACGCGCTCAGCATATCTTAAGCTCAAGGAACTGAAGAACAAATTCAAACCTCGAGTTGCTATAATCAAGGATGCTTTCGGCAGAACGTTAAATGATCCCGGAAGTATTAAAAGAAGATGGAAGGAATATATTGAGTCACTGTATCGAAAAGAATTGGAAGACACAGAAGAATTTCATGAAACAACATATGAGCAAGAGCCTATGGTGATGAAAGAAGAAGTTCATGCTGCTTGAAGTTCAGGCTGCTTTGAAGGACATGGCCAAAAATAAGGCTCCAGGAATAGATGGTATACCAATTGACACACTGACATAGACTATAGAAATGCCATAGACTGATGGTAAACTAATATAAAATGGAAAAAATTAATTTTCATGTGAAAATGTAAAAAAATTAAGCAATTAGAGAAAAATGAAAAGATAATCGAACCAAAGGCACATCAACAAAAACAGTATATAGTTAGTGTTTTAGCAATAAGAAACTGAACAAACAGAAGTGATCATTCATGAAATAGAATTTGAGATTTGCAAATATGTACAGATATACCCAGGCAGCTTGTAAAGGACACAAATAGATGTTTACTCTGGAACTCACAAGAAAAGGCTTAGAGCTCTGCACTGAAGGGCTGTTAGTATATAGAACTAGTGTTTGAAAGCATGGGCCTGGAGAATCTCTAGGTTAGGACTGATGCCAGGAGTTCCAATATTAATAGTCTGTAAAGTACCTGGTGGGCTGCTGTGGGGAAGATTCCTGCCTAGGAAGCCCATTAGAGCTGTTCTGGGTTACACTCTGCTCCAGGGCATATAGTCAAAACACACCAAAGGTACAGCCCCTGGATTAATGCATTCAACAGCTGCACACATGATTAATGCATTCAGTCGCTCACCCTAGGTAGGTGGTTGGAGTATGCCCAGTGGTACCTTGGAAGAAAGGGCTGGCTGTTTACTTCTGGAAAGTCATCCCTTGCAAACCCTGTGGACCGCAGCTCTGCTCTGTAACATAGAGTGGAATCCCCTGGAATGCATCTGTTTTGGTTTGGATTCTCTATAAGGAAGAGAAGCTGGCCTGAGAGCAATCGTTACTGAGAAGTGGGAAGTCCAGGAACTGATATAACCACAAAAGGTAGACAAGGAGTAAAAATGAAGACACTTTCAGGTAGTTAAAGACTCAGAGCATCTGCTTTTTAGAATGATTTCTGTCAGATAAAATGACCTAAGGGCATTTGTAACCAGAGAAGAGGAAGACGTAAGTTTAAAAAAGAAAAAAAAGTAAAAGCATTCCAGGGATTCACTGAAAATGAGCTTCAGAGTGACAGCTCATACCCGCACGAGTTAGCTTTCATTATAACATAGAGCAGAAAGTAATAATTAAGTGGCCTTCGAGAATTCCACACTAAATAAGAATGGAATGGATTCTTTTTGAAAGATGATTCCGAAGGAAGCAGGAGGAAGGTATTGATGTGATAAATAAGGACCTTACAAGGCCAGAGGAGGGGCTCCAGTGTCACAGTGGGTTAAGTGCTGGACTGTTGGCTGAGCCCACCAGCCTGCCAAGGGAGAAGGATGGCATGGTTTGTTCCATTTACATTTACAACTTCAGAAAACCATTGGGCAGTTGCACTTAGTCCTTCAGGGCCATTGTGGGTCAGAACCAACTCAGTGACTTTGGATGGCCCGAGAAACTAGAAAAAAATCCAAAGCACAGGATAGCTATTACCTTTATTCTAAGTTGTCTGAATGTGCATTAGAATGTAAACAAAAACTGTTTGACTACAGTTGCCAAACTCAAGATTGTACACTCACAGCGCCAAGTGGAAGCACTCAGCTGCAGACTAATGAGTGACCTTGAGAGTCAACCAGCAGCTCCCTGGTCTGGTCTGTTCCCTTTGACCACTCACAGCCTTGGGGACCCCGAGAGCAGTCCTGTAGAGTAGCTGTGGGTCAGAGGTGACTTAATGGCAAGGGACTTCATATGTAACATTGCACACATAGGCAATAGAGGGGCTAAAAAAGAGTAATTCGTTTATTTAAAACTCCTGAGCAGCGTGAGTGAGCTAAGCAGGGTGACTAGCTATGTGCAAAGTTGAGAACAACTGAGATAATCAGCCAAGTGATAAGATGGAAATGATTGAGCCAAGTTGCCTGTGAGGAGTGTAATAAAAAGTTGGGAACTGTAAGAGAGAAAGGCATGTGCTAGGATTCTTTGTATAGTATTGATTATCAAATAATTAGATGGAGAAAAGCAGGAAGAGATAAGTTGTTAGGGCAGCGTTCGCAGAGCACACTGTGCTGTGATTGGGCAATAACTTGCTACAGAGAAGATGAGGGATCAAGGGCTTGGCTCTCCCCTTCATCCATTTTTCCTCTAAGGTGGAAGCTACTATTGCATGTTTGTCTTCTGAGGGTGGTGGTGTAGTAATGCATTGGTTCTCAAAAGCAGTCCTCAGCATAGCAATACCAGAGCCGAAGCAACACCAAGGGATTTGTAGGAATACACGCTCTTGGACCCCATCCAGTATCTGAAATTTTGCAGGTGGGGCTTAGGCCATCCGTGTTTTACCAAGCCCGCCAGGTGTTGCACATGTTTGCCTCCATAGAGAATATTTATGCGGCTGAGGATTATGTAAAACCTATTTAAAATGCCATGGATTTTACTAACTCTACATGTTGTACCAAATATCCAATTTAAAATATTTTCTGGTTTGTCTAGGTCGGATGCTGAAACAAAAAGGGCTTTGGAAGAACTGACTGAAAGACTCAATTTCCAGAGACAAGAAGTGGTAGGAATTCTTCATTTACGAAAAGTTTTCTTTGCTGTGCAGGCCGTGGAGAGGGTGGCCGGGCTGGCCTCAGTCACAGTGACGTTGGGCGAGCTTTGCCTTTCTGAGCGGTGCAGGCTACCTCGTCTACAACACTATTCCTACTCCTCTTATATTTTAGATCATTAAAACTTGTAGATTCTTAAGATTGAAATATCACATTGGTGGCATATTAGAGATAGAATTCCCACTTGTTTTAATTTTTGAAGTTTATTTTAAAATGACTGTTTGAAAGGTTTAAAATGATTTTTTCCAAATGATTGTTACTACTTCACTGCTTCAGTGATTCTCCTGCTATAGTTTTGTTAAATGATGTTTGAAAACAGCCTGTTTCTGTAGTGGTTGTTCCACTCCCCACTGAGTATTGCCACGTCATCTCACCTGAGTGTATAATCATAATTGCTGCCAGGATCTCCTTCCGACTTTAACTTTACGTGGCAGGATACTATTTGAAAATATCCCAGAATGCCACATTTTATTTTTTCAAATTTCAGTTCCTTGATTCATTATTCAGTTATCTTTACTTTTTTTTTTTTTTTTTAAATTGTATCTTTACCCCTGAAAGAAGTGAAGGAGCACTGGCGGCGTAGTGGATCAAGTACTGTTGTTGCTAATTGAAAAGTCATTGGTTCAAATCTACTAACTATTTCAAGGGAGAAAGAGAGTTGGCTCTGATCTAGAGCCTTGGGGACCTGATGGAGGGTTGTTTTGAAGGCAAAAGTGACTCAAAAGCAGTGGGTTTGGTTTTGGTGATGAGGGTAAGGTGAAAAATAAAGTGGATTTGTGTCACTTTAATTGGCATCATCAAATTACCAACAAAAAGTGTCACTAAACTGTTGCACATTTGCCAAGTTCAGGAGCAGTGAGTATTCACTCATTTTCTATACTGGCTTTTATTTTCTAAAGGAAAAGAAAGTTAGCAGAATTTTTTTTCTTAACATATTCTGTTCATCTTGAGATTTTTCTAGTGAGAGCACATCATTTTTCCCCAGTTGCCGTGTTTACATTTCCTTACACAGGTATATAGAAATCGCATTAGAGCTTGAATTTAGTGACCACATATGCTAGGAGATGGATTGGGTCTAATTTCAAAGCTATCAACTTTTTGCAATAAAATGTTCCAATTTCCAACATGAATAAGGACCTGATTACATAGAAACACTTCTCGTGTTTTGTCACTGATTACCTTGTGAAAAACCTCCGAGAAGGAAAGCGTAGATATACTGCCAGTCTTACGATAAAGTAGAAAAGAGAACAGAGCAAGGGAACACTACATGGTTTAAAATTAACAAAGGCTTGTGTCAGCGATGTATCCTTTCTCCATATCTATTCAATATGTATGCTGAGTAAATTATTCGAAAAGCCAGACTCTAAGAAGAAGAATGTACCATCAGGACTGGCGGCGGACTCATCTATAATCTTCAGCATGCAGATGACACAACCTTGCTTGCTGAAAGTAAGAGGGCTTGAAACACTTGCCACAGAAAACCAAAGACTGCAACCTTCAATATTGCATCTTGGTGTTGAGAAAGCAAAAAGTCTCACCACTGGACTGATGGTACCATCATGATAGATGGAGAAAAGATTGAAACTGTCGGTGACTTCCATCTTGCTTGGATCCACAGTCAACACACTTGGTACCAGCAGCGGGGAAATCAAAAGGCAAATTGCATTGGAAAAATCTGCTCTCTGGGACATCTCCAGAGTACTGAAGAGCAAAATACCAGTCCAGAGACTAAGGTGTACCTGATTCAGGCCACAGTCTTTGTAATTACTTGCTATGTATAAAAGAACTGGACAATGACTAAGGATGATAGAAGAAGAATTGGTGTCTTTGAGTTGCGTGTTGGAAAGGAGTCTTGGACATACCATGGACTTATAAGAGAACAAATAGGTCTTTCTTGGAGAGGGTGAAACTAGGATACTCTTTGGAGGCAAGGATTTTGAAGCTCCCTTTCACATACTTTGGGCATCTTGCCAGGAGGTATTAGTCTTTGGAGAAGGACATCATGTGTGGAAGGGAGAAGGGACAGCACAAGAGAGGAAGATCCTGGATGAGATGGGTAGACTCAGTGAGTGGAATAATGGAGGTAGGTGTGTCAGAACAGTGAAATTGGCTCAAGATAGAACAGGGTGCAGAGCGTTCATACATAGGGTCACTATGAGTCACAAGTGACTCCAGGCCACATGAGACAGCAACATACATACAACAAGAAATCACTGCCACTGTGTGATTTACATACTATAAATAGCAACTGAACACACGTTTTAAAATTGGAGCTTTGAGGTCCTTTATAATGAACTACATGATGTTCTAGTTCTCTTAAAAAATTTTAAGAGTATCACTTGTCGTTGATGTGAGACCCTGCTGAAAGTTTTTATTATTTTGAAGACATTAGCTGTAAAGTACACTAAAAAATTCATAATGTCTGTGGATAGCTCAATGAATTACCATGAGGTGAATGTAGCAGGGTAACTATCACCAAGGTCTGGAAATAGACACTGTCAGCACCCAAGGTGCCTCCTCTTTTATCACTAACTCCTTTCTTGTCTGGCAGCAAAACTGTTTCCACTAAGCCATCTAACGTATCCTAACGCTTCTTTTTAAGAGTAACCATGTTTTTGACTTTTAACTTTATTGATGAATTCTGCCTGTTTTGAGCTTTTTGTATAAAAAGAAGTATATTGCATGTGCTCTTTTAAAAAAAAAATCTATATAGATTTACATATAAAAGTCATATACACTATGTTTCATTTATAAACATTGTGTTTCATGCATTCCTCCATTGACACTAGGTTTCACAGTATCATTCCCATACGTTGTGTTTTATGAAATTAATCACCATTGATCCATGCCCATCATTACCCCACCTCTTCAGGTCCCCACTGGATCTTTCCTAATTCCTTCACTCTCTTGATCTGAGGGGGGGAAAACTTTAAGTTGCAGAGTTTGCCTTTGTTCTTTTGTACTTGACCTTGGCCAGTCAATATGATCGTGATATTTATGGGTGCTATTCAAGCCTCAAGTTGCAATACTTAAGGATGCTTTGGGCAGAATATTAAATGATCCAGGAAGCATTAGAAGAAGATGAAAAGAGTATACAGAGTCATTGTACATAAAGAATTGGTAGACACAGAAGAATTTCTTGAAACAACATATGAGCGAGAGCCTGTGGTGATGATGTGATATTTAAGCTGCTCTTAAAGAATTGGTAAAAAACAAGCCCCCAGGAATTGATGGTATACCAATTGATGTATTTCAGCAAACATATGCTGCACTTGATGTGCTCAACAAGTTGTGCCAAGAAATTTGGAGGACAACTACCTGGCAGACTGATTGAAAGAGATCTGTATTTCTTCCCTTTCTAGAGAAAGGTGATTCAACAGAGTGTGGAAACTTATCAAACAATATTACTGATATCACATGCAAGCAAGATTCTGCTGAAGATTATCCAAAAACAACTGGAACAGCACATCAACAGAGAAATGCCAGAAGTGCAGGTTGGGTTTAGAAGAGGCCGTGGTACTAGGGATATTCTAGCTAATGTTACCTGGATCTTGGCTGAAAGTAGGGAGCACCAGAGTAATGTCTATCTGTGTTTCATTGACTATACAAAAATGTTTGTGTGACCACAACGAACTGTGACTGACTCTAAGAAGAATGGGACTCCAACGACACTTGATTGTGTTTATACAAAACCTATACTTGGACCAGGAGGCAGTCGTCAGAACAGAACAAGGAAACACTGCATTGGGAAAGAGTGTATGCCAGGGATGTGTTCTATCTCCATACCTTTCAATCTATATGCAGAACAGATTATCTGGGAGGCTGGACTCTATGAAGAGAAATTTGGCATCAGGATTGGAGGAAGACTCATCACCAATCTGTGTTATGCAGATGACACAACCCTGCTTGCTGAAACTGAGGAAGACCTGAAGCACTTGCTGCAGAAGGTCAAGGATTGTAGCCTTCAATAAGGATTGAAACTCAACATCAAGAAAACAAAGATTCTTATGACTAGGCCGAATGGCAGCATCGTGATAGATGGTGAAGAGACTGAGATTGTAAATAGTTTTAGTTTGCTTGGCTCTCCAATCAACACTCTTGGCACCATCAGCCAGGAAATGAAAAGACAATTTGTGTTGGGAAAGTCTGCTGTCAGAGACCTCTCCAAAATACTGAAGAGCAATGATGTCAGTCTGGAAACTAAGATGCTCCTGATCTAGGCCATTGTCTCTGCTATATGTCAGAGAGCTGGACAATGACTAGGGATGATAGGAGAATTGATGCCTTTGAACTGTGGTGTTTGAGAAGAGTATTGAATATACCATGGACTGTTAAGAGTATGAACAGGTTTGTCCTGGAGAGGGTTAAACCAGGCTGCTCCTTGGAGGCAAGGATTCTGAAGCTTCGTCTGACGTACTTTGGACATGTTGCAGGGAGGGACCAATCCTTGGAGAGGGACATGATGCTTGGGAAGGTGGAGGGACAGTGTAGGAAGATCCTCGATGAGATGGATTGATTCTGTGACTGGGGTAATGCAGGTAGGTGTGTCGGAGACAATAAGATTGGCACAGGATAGAGCAGGGTTTAAGGCCGTTGTACATAGGGTTGCTATGAGTTGCAGGTGACTCGACAGCACACAACAACAACAACAACAACATGCTGTGAGTCTCACAGCAATTAGATCATCAGTTTGAGACCTAATGTGTTCTGATTCAAGCTGTGAGATTTCTTTCTTATCACTTGCTATGCATCTGAAAGCTGCACAATGAATAAGGATGATAGAAAAAGAATTTATGCCTTTGAGCTGTGGTGTTGGAGAAGAGCACTGAACATTCCATGGACGGCCAAGAGAGCAAACAAATATGTATTAAAGAGGGTGCAGCTGGAGTGCTCTTTGGAGGCAAAAACGATGGGGCTTCGGTTGACTTAGCTCAGCCATGTTGCTAGGAGGGGC